CGTATCACACACAATGATCCGACCGTATGCTTCATAAATGACATCCCTATATCATATTCGCCCCCAGTTTTGAATATGTAATCACATTCTACTGTTGTGTCACCGGTTTACGACGTGCACTGTTATGGAAATAAATTGAAAACGAGCTATTGCTCTGATAAACTTCTTGTGTTTTAGTCCGTGTATAATAACTATATGGTACATCTATACGTACCTTACTATAAGCTTTATGCTATGCAATTTGAAAAACTTCTGAAGTTACCGTTTAAACTATTATCTATAATCATTTAGCTTACCAAATTGAATTTATTATTTAGCCATCTAAATATATATGGGTCTATAGACATCGAAAAATATCTATTAATAAAATAATCATTAATCTAATACAATTTATAACTCTCCGATTAATAAACTAACTGTATTAGAAAACCATAATTTCTCAAGATAATACCTGTAGCTTCATTTTATCTTGGTGTATGCTTCCAAATAATATTTGACTTCCTAAAAGCATATTATAATCTTAATAGAGGACGTTAATCCTCTTTGGAACAACTGAATATATTTACAACCACAAAATCTCTGTTTCCTAACTGTTCACTTAAGATAACGTCAAAGTTGTTACTAAACTATAACACGAAATGTATGTATAATATATATGGATAAATCCTCAGCTAAAAATAACATTTAAGTTTGTTATAAAACCAATAATTACAAGGTTTCTTTCTTCTACCTGGCAATTTCCCGGCTACAGCTAGGGTCTGCCTTACATGGTGTGAATAGCTGCCTCTTTTGGGAATCAGCATTAATCAGTGTCTAAATATTCTTAGAAAGTACATATGACTCGGAAAAATCACATTGGTACTTGCCCGGGCCAGGATCGAACCCGCGCCCTCGGCAACCACAAGCGGGCCCTCTAACCATAAGGACAAAGTTTGCTATAAAACCAAGCATTACGTTATAAAGTACACTTTGAATATTTTTTGATGGAAAAATACGAAGCATCTTAATTGGCATGAAATATATATTTTTAAATAAGACAGATAATAAATATCGCAAGGTTATGACGTCTCAAATTCTTACATTATCCGTAATCGCTGAATCGTATCCCTCCCAAGTTTATAACTCGAATATCTCAGTTTAACACATGGAACGTTTCATTTCCTCGCTTTCATTTTATGCATGGACGCATCTTCACCATTTAGAGTTTGCCCCAATTTCATACAGTCAATGAAAATATTGGGGAGCGTCAAACCGCATTTTTTTATGTAACTTTACACAGACTGCAATGACTTTTGGATCAAATGTCTGTCAAATAAATATATTTAATTAAAATTAATTAAATTACTGAACCTATTATCAAGAAGATTTATATTTATATATATTAAACGTATAATTTTAATCTCTGTCACAAGTCTCGACACAACGCGTTATTATTTACGAGGGCGCGAAAAAGAAACAAAATGGCGGAGCAGCCATTTCACATCTTGACAGCAAGATTTGTTTTTCCCAGACAGTTTGTCTTTCAAATATTATAGCAATTCTTAAGCTGCACGTCTTTTCAGAAAACGCTAAAGACATTGAACATTTACGAATACAATTTATCAAAATTTGGAAATATAGAAGATTTTTTATTTTCATTTTGAACAAATATAAATATAAATAAATAATTCACGTTAATATTTCTAAAGCATTGTTAACTTCATTTTCACTAAAAGTACCGATTTTCATTTTCGATAAAAAATAAGTTTTAACAAAATATGAGACACAATAAATTAATTTCAATATCTCCGAAGGTTTAAAATTCTTTTGACACTTAAAACTTTTCATTAACATTCATTGAATATTTCAATTATAAATGTTTGAACACGTCTGGCCGTCAGCCTGTCAGGATTTTGGGATTAACTCCTCAACCGAGCTAGCGCGACTACCTCGTCATAGGGAATTAATTTATTAACCTGTCTTTTTAGTAAGACAACCGGCCTTACATTCATATAAATGTAAATATTTTAAGTTAATAGAAGATAGGTTTTAATATATATCAGGCAATCATATATCATCATTGAGTTATTGTTCTGTCACATATTGTAGCCTAACCGCATACTGGTCAATTTACATAACATCTCTATGTATAGAACAATAATTATTATGCTTCTACAGTACTAGCTACACAGTATAAGTAACTATTAGATTCGATTGTCATATACGTGTTTGTGCTTTATATTGTATGGCAAATCATCGAGAACAATTGAGGTAATAGCTCAATTTGCATAAAGCTGTTCTATGATAGCGTCAATAACTAATCAGTGTCGTAAAGCCCTGCTGCGTACTGTGATTGTGTTGGCTTTGACTCTCCGGCTTATCGGCGAGTTGCAGTTGTTGATTTTATTTTTATTATACGAAAATTAATAACAAAATATTTTTTTTATGTAAAAGTAGCAAAAGAACAGACGGCCTACTTGATGGAAGGCAGTTACCGTCGCCCATGGACATGCGTTGCCAACCTTTTTTTTTTAGGGATATCGAGGAATGGGAATAAGGAAATGGTAGGAAAGAGTGGGAGGGAATAGAGAAACGCAGCCATTAAAGGCTACTTCACGCCGATCTTCTTTGGTAGAGAGGTACTTTCCCGGTCGAGCCAGTATATGTTTGACCCGTAGTAACTGACCACAGCCAGGCCCAACTACCTAAAGAAATAAAAAAATCTGTGCTATCATTGTATACAGGGTGACTGGTGAATTACTATCGATATTTGAGGACGTGATATTTGACGATCATATATGACAAAATAAAAATTAATATAACATAAATATTAATAAACTTCTAAGTAAAGTTAACCAAAAGTTATGTAATTAATTACGCATCGTGTGAACACCCTACAGATTAGGTATACACTGACACTCACACATACGCATGTCGTGACGTGGTGTTGTATCAACACGTCGCCGCACGCGTCCACACTTGAACACTTGGAACGTGTCAACACTTTACTTATTTATACGGAAATTTTGTCAAAAATTAAGTGCCTATTTTTTTTACATAATTCGAATGAGAATCATGTACCGAGTATGCTCCTTAAATATTGATAGTAATTCACCAGTCACCCTGTATATTCAATAATTTTTGTACATAAAGCTTTCGTTTCTGACGGTAAAGTAGTAGAACATAAGTCTCAAGTCTACGTCGTCCCAGCATCCTCAAATTAGCGTGACGAATAATCACGTAATGCAATGAGCGAGATCAAGCCAGGCACGTTCAGAGCGCATTAACAGACGAATTGTTCCTATTAGCTGATTAGAATTCTGGTTAATCATTTTTACATTTCTTTGCGCGTTTAAACTTCTTTTACGTCATTTTTGCTTTGAAATTTCGCGCTAAAACTCGTGGATCAGAATAAGGTTCCTTTTATTTGTGGCTTTGAGATTATGATTTATCTGACTCTCTAGCCGAGTTAACCGTAAAAGGTAACATACAAAACCAGAGTCTTTGAGTTAATCTTATTAACGCAATCGTATAAGTATATTATGTTAAGATTCCACTCTATCCACTAATTCAAGAAGACAAGGTGACGTAATTAATTCCTTACTAATTACAAAGTGATATCACGTATACAGTATTACACTGCTAATTATATATAACTATTAATGTACGTGACTTTACTCGTGTGGAATTATACTGGATAAATCACTAAGGAAACGAGCTTACATACTTTGTTTATTACATAGCTATTTAGATTGTTTTAAAGATATATCAATGTTGTGAGTGGTTAATAAGTGTTCTTATCTCAGAATCAGCTAAACACCGGATCACTCAAATCTTGAAACTGTGGCTAACGAAGCATCACAAACATGCTTTGAAGTGTATCTTCACAGACTCAACAATAGACTGAGCTCCATTGTGATACATCTAAATGGTTTCCTTAAAGTCTCGTTCAACTAAGTAACAGCTTTAAATAAACTAAAGAACTTCACAAAACAATATAACTTTGACAATCACGTGTTATTAGCCGTTATAATGAACAGTGTAATGTCATTATGAATGGATGACAAACATTGATGGTCGCATTAAATATTAATTGAATAGTTATTGTAGTTACATAATTAAATTTTATGATCCTAAACACATGATATGTAACCACAAGTGACGTACACTAAAATATTAAATAATTGATTACATTATGTATATTTGTGAATAAATATTATTAGCATATACATATGTTATACACAAAACATTTTTAACTCATGGTTTCACTGTTTTAGTAAACGAAAATCAAGGTTATAGTATAAAATTTACTTTGAACTTAACTTCTCTATTAGCTTAGAATATTTTGATTGAATATATTTAAATACCCATTCATTAAAATCGTTACTCATTAAGGGTCAAAAAAACTATGAATAATGATCATATTATGTCACGAAATATAAACTTAAATACGATGTTTAAATATAATTCGATTTCAATTATTTTATAATATAACTATGCGTTGTTGAATAAAAAATATATTAAAATTATCTGTTTTAGATTTTCGTAACTCCTCATTCAAATAAAACTATATTTCGGGAACTACTCACAATTTTACTATTTTATATTTTCCCAGACATTTGGCATACTTTGCAGTAACAGTGAACGTGGGAAGGCGACTTGAGAGACACTTTTATCTTGACTTTATATAATGTAGAATAATAAAACCACAAAGTGAATTCCAAAAATATAGTTTTCTTTGAACGATTGTTCTGATCTTAGTGTTACGTAAAATTAAAAGAGACTTTTTTATTAAAAATCATAAGAATTACAGTATTATCTAATCAGTAGACATTTTTCTGATATACTACGCGACTTTATTTTTATAAAAAACTATGTACATACTCTCGACGTTTCGGCTACATTCACATCTCGTCTGCCCGTGATCACTGTTGCTGAAAAGTAACCAAAACTTCGGGAACATTTAGTTTAGTACAATAGAGATGTAAGAATACAATAATAATTATATCTTTTTGTTATAGGTTAAAGTTATGCTACGAGTGGGCGCGTCAGGCGAGGGTCCCTTCACAAGCGGTACCCAGACCTTTTCTCTTGATAAACGTAAGAGACAGGTTACACTGTGTGAGACAGCCACTGCTGCAGCCGCTCCCGAAGACAGAAAAGTTGGTGTCGCAGCTCCGAAAATGTTCGCTTTTGACGCTATTTTCTCACAAGATGACCCCCAGGTAACATATAATTCGATGAAATAAATGTTATGTTACTAAATCAAGTCCTTTCATTATTTCCAAATAGTTTTTTTCTGGCTAATCCATGAAACTAATTAAATAATATAAAATGAAGACATTGGATAAGTAGAAGAAAGTAAGCTTCGGCAAAAAGAACTAAAACTTAACTCGACTAATTATAATAGAAATGACAAATAAATATGCATGTTGTCACGTGGACAAGTGCCCATTATAATTACTATTGACAGTGTGTTGAATTTGTTACTATAACAAAGAAAAAAATCTTGAATCAAAGAAATAAATTAAAAAAACAACAGTACATATACGTATCTAGTCTAGATGTTATATGGAGAATCTTCAATTTAATAGTAAATTCAAGTGTAAAATTTATAAGATATGTTTAAATTCTGTAATATCCTCATTATTCGTATAATGTTATACATTTTCATTAAACAAAACCGTACATATTATCTATAATGTTGAATATCACACATGCTTGTATGAAAATATTTTCAAAAGCCCACAATCTCAACAAATTTCAAAGTTGGATGGCTGGCAGCCCGTTGTCGCGATGTTCGTTCCTTCCGAAATTCAAGCAAAAATTTCTTACCGAATTTCATGTTTAAATTGTTAAAAGGCCATGGAACGTTCAAGTATCACCAACTATGCAGTAAAATTCACATTTTTCGAGAGCATTGAAAGGGTAAAATATCTGAGGAAGTTCGACGAAAGTTTTATCTTTCTGGAGAATTTGGATTGCATGTGAGAAGATTATCGTATTTTGCAAGATATTTTCAAAGCAAGCTGTATTAAATCATAGTTCATCGAACAAGATAGTTCGCTTATTACTTTAATTTCAGTTTAATTATGAAAATGAAATTTTACTATTACGACCTGGATAATAAAGATGCTCTTCCTAAAAGACAATTCCGAAGTAAATATAGACAAGTTATTTGATTATATTTGCAATATATGTATTATCCTACAATTAGATTCATAAAAAATGTATACTTTAAAAACCGCACCCAATATTGATAATAAAGCCGTCTTCATAGTATATAAGCATATTAATTAATGCCGACACAGGTTTCTTGGTCGATATGTCTAAAATGTGGGCGGAAAAAAGATGTTCCAGCCACATAGATGCCACAACGGCGCATTAAATCACAACAGCGACACTGAGCGTCGCCATTAATATCATGTAATCCCTATATCCGACGCGTTGGTGGTGCATTAGCCACTTACTGGGGCTTAATTTGTTGCCGCTGTAATTATACGCAACTTAATTCAAATTCGGTTTGTTGTTCTCCCGCATATTTGCCCTTCCCTATACTCTATATTTATGAGAGACTTAGGTATACGCCGCACTGCGCATAGCCTATACACTTCGAGTTTGGTTTCGTCGGCATTGTTTTAGTCCTACGCAGATCATTTTTTATAGCAATCCAACTTGCCCAAGTAAAACCCTGTGATAAAGGCAAGAGATCACAATGAAATAATACATTTAAACTATATTAAATGATGTGGTAGTTCCTTAGTAATTTGGACAATATTTAGGTAGTCGATAGTTTAAATATCTTCCAATGTTATCTAAAAATTAATGTCGTCATATAGAAATATTTGAAAATTAATAAAAATCCCGTCGAGCTACAACAACAATATCGTACAGGCACACTAGGAGTACGTTTCCCGGATATAACTCTGGCTCAGCGGCTTACGGCCTGTCTGTGATTCTAATGAAATTTTCACTGAATTCTAACATCAAACGAACCACGTACATATTGAAATTTCATAAAAAAAATACCAACCAAAGAAAAAAATATTATACTTCTAGTATTATGTAATAATTATTCAAGATATAATTGTTCAAAATTATAACCATGTATTGTTTTAAATCATGAAATATTTGAAATATTAAATCCCTTAATTGACCTAAATTCAGCCGAAAACAAAGGTATTTGATAAGAAACAATTGATAACACTCATGAAGGGTTCGAGTCTTTATAATACTAATTGTTACGATAATTTGATAAACTACCCTCGGTATTAATTCTAAATGTTTTCAGTGGGGACCGAGGGTCGCTCATTAAAATTTTCATTCAAAACAATCTCAATATTGCCGTACCCAATAAACAAATCTCAAGTAGGGTAACATTATTTTATACATTATTATTAATTGTTAATATTTTCTTATTACCTTAAACTCAAAATTTGAATGCGATTTATAATGAATAAAATACCCAAAGATTATAGCTCATTTTTTAATTTTACGACTTGGTATTCCATGAAAATATTCAGAATACTTTTTTTAGAGCAACCTACAATTCCATGAACGCTTCTCACGTCAAGTAATATTATATTTACTTTAAAAATATATAATAATTACATTTTTAACTTTATGTTTACCACTTAATGGGTATAGCATAAAAAATATCTTTAATTTATAATAAAATCGCAACCCTCGTTGTAATCCGTGCGCTTTACCTTAAGCCCATTTAATTATCTGGCAACCTTAACGTAAAGAAAACATAGCTTAGTTCGCTTTTGGCCCTCCAACTAAGTACGAGATTTGCGTAAATTATTCAAAGCCTTATGCAACGTACAGGAAATTGAGCTTATCTTGTCTATATTAGATATAAAATAGTACATTAAAAGCCTTATTTACTGTTCACATTCAAAATTTTCATGATTAAATGACTGTTATTTTACTACATCCGTAATCTCATACAGTTACCGGTTTTAATTATCCCTAACATTATCATAAATGTTTTAACGTTCAAAGTTTGATACATACATTTATCTATTTGATATGAAAACAACGGTAATTACTAGTATTAATCATTCTTTATAAAACAAAATTTATTAAATAAATTTCTATTTCCAAATATATATTTTTTTAATTTTCTCCTTATATGAATATAGGATTTCTTTGTATTCTAAAACACTGATTATTTGGTACATATAAAATTAAGCTCGTAATGATGGTAATTATAATGATATTTTTGTTTCCAGACTGAAATATGTTCAAGCGCGCTAACTGATGTTATACACGCGGTGATAAATGGAACTGACGGATGTCTCTTCTGTTTCGGACATGCAGGACTAGGTGAGTTTATTCACAATACTTATAAAAAAAATCAATACTTTATTGTACATGTATTAGAATTTATATGAAACTATTTTTCTTGCACGATGTACAAAAAATAATATACAAAATGTATAGAATAAGATACTAAGCATAGTAAAAATAATAATACTTTTAATTCACCTTTTTGGTAGTACATACTTTTTTAAAGATTTTTTTGAAACTTTTTTTTTACCTTCAAAATATCAGTCTAGGTTTCAGCTTGTAATAACTTTACCTTATTCTTAAAAGTACTTTATACTTATTAAAATTTATAGCTATACATAAATTCTGTAATATTTTTTCACCGTACATACATTACGCTGTAATTTATCCTAACAATGCGCTTCTTTATTCTTTTCATAGCGGACCCATTCTTCAGCCTTAGTTTACATCCTATTCAACAAGAACTAGTTTTCGCGTCAATAATGTTTTTTACATTTCATGCACATTTTATATTATCAATTTTTTATATCAAAGAGAACTTTAAAAGAATCCTATAACGTTCTTTAAACTTATTAAAATTAACGCAGATCCCAAAGAAAGTTTAAAGCATTTCCAAGACTCTAGGATCCTGATGTTTAAATATTCAGGGACTTAACGTTGCACTATTTATTAGACAAGTGCGATGCTCATAGCGAATTTGCATCGGAATGGTAAGGCGTGAACATATAATTGAAACTTTCATACAAGACGAGAAAACTTTCTCAGTTTAACTTTTAACTTTATTACCACTGTTTATTCTACCAGTGTAGCCTTATCCAAACTCATTTCAATACGCAATCTATATACAAATGAGCTAAAATAAGTTAGATAAGAATTTTGTTTCCATTTTTTGTCAATGAATTCGTTTGGAGACATCGTGCATTGTTAAACAGTTTTAATCAGAAATTAAATGAAATAGGTTTAGGTTTAGAGATGATTTATTTCCCATTAAGTATTAATATAACATTAAGTTCAGTAAGTTTAGGGTTCAATAAACTTTCCGTGATTCAACTCTGCTTATATATAAAAATGATGAAATTCAATTCACATCTCGTCTGCCAGTGATCACGGTTTCTGAAAAGTAACCGAAACGTCGGGAGTATTTAATTAAAAATAATAATAAACGCGTATTTTAGAAAAATATTAGTTTTATTTCAATAAATACTAGATATCGTGTTTGAATTCAGTTTTAACAAATTATCACAAACAAAGTTCCATTACCAAAAGCTAAATTAGTGCATCTGAAGCATTCTTAAGTGGTGTTCTTAATAAATATTATGAATGGCTCCAGCCGACATCTTACTCAGCGGCAAGGATTAAGGTTTTAAATGAAAATTGAATGAAAGCCTCGGCAACGGAACTTTGAGGGAACGAGGAATCCCGCGGAAACCTGGCTTACTTCATCATCCCGCTTATTTCGGGGATTTTCGGGTACCGGCTGAATAATTAGAGCCTCGTTTTAATTTGGAAGGTAATGTTGAATAAATATCGCGGTTTTGAGACGGAATTTAATTTGTGGCTCTGAATCGTACTAGATTTATAATTGAATTACTTGACTCGAATGATTAGCATGTATTACATGTGCCTGTTTGTTAGGAACTTACTTATTGTTTCAAATATATTTTTAGAACAAGAGTGCTTTAAAGTTTTATTTTTCTGTCGAATCTTTCCATATAAATAAAAAGATATCAAACTAATATTCGCCGAATTTTATTATTTTAAAAACTATATACTCCCGACGTAATTACATAACCTTCATCTTGTGATACAAAATTAATAAATTATGTGCTGAATTCAACAAAAAATATGTATAATTGATAACACTTTTTATTTTAATTTTCATTTTAGTATAGATTCGTATAATTTGATTCACGCTCCACTACATAGCTTCATTATTTCGGTCTTTTGTCTTCAGTAATCTAATTGCTGCTACCAGTTTTGGATCTAAATAAAAAATATTTTTATAAGAGTACCTTTAATGAAGTATTTGGTTTCTTATCAAACTTTCGGTTTGAATTCTAGGGTATATATAGGGTATAAGATATAGATACAAATATAGGGTCACTGTTAAGTTCTACATTAAATAAAAAATTCTAAGAAGACGAATTGAATAATAATGAAATAAATAAAAAATAAAAATAAACTTTATTGACTCAAGGATTACATAACAATCAAGTTGCAAGGGCCCCTGTACTAGGTGCAAACCCGTATTACTGGGTGCCCCGCTCATCCACCAAGACAACTAGAGACTAGAAACTCACACAGTGTTTAAATATTATAATGAAAATTATTCAACCAATATAATTTTCTATGACAGGCAAGTCGTATACAATGCTGGGACGGCCGGACTCATCCTCAACATTGGGAGCCATACCATGCGCGATCTCGTGGCTGTTCCGAGGTATAGCGGAACAGAAACACAAGTGTGGTACACGCTTCTCAGTCAGAGTATCCGCTGTTGAACTCTGTACCAACACCAATCAAATACGTGACTTGTTGGCTCCATATCACAATGGTGAGCAAACTTTATGCAAATGTTATTACTTTACATACTTAACAATCCCTACAAACATTATAAATGCGAAAGTAACTCTGTCTGTCTGTTAAGCTTTCACGCCTAAACCACTGAACTGATTTTAATGAAATTTGGTACAGAGATAGAGTTGACCTTGAAAAAAAAACCATAGAATAGTTTTTATCCCAGACTTTTGAAAGGTTTTCTTGGAAATGTGATATAACCGAACTCCACGCGGGCGACGCCGCGGGAGGAAAGCTAGTATACAATATATTCCTTAAGTCCTAGTTCAAGACATTACAGTATCTCGTTTATTGAACCAAGATTTCCTTAATAGTATATACTACTTATCTCAATGCGTACTGTTTCTTAATTTAATTCTATGATTTCAATAGACACGGAGCAATCGCCTGGAGTATATCTGCGGGATGATCCCTTATTTGGGACCCAGTTGCAAAACCAATCAGAACTTCGAGTACATAGCGCGGAGCGTGCTGCATTCTATCTGGATGCTGCTCTCGGAGCAAGGGTTAGAGAAGAGGGAAGGGATAGCCATCTGTTATACACTTTACATGTCTACCAGTATAGTGTCGGCGGCAAAGGGGCTGGTGAGTTACTATTGTATCATTATAATCATGAAAATAAACGATCATGGCAAATGTGGCTCTCTTTTTATTTTTGTTTTTGTCAATCTAGCAATTCTATCGAAACTATACCTTAAATTTTTCATAAAATATATCACTTATTACATACATTTATAGCAAAAAAATATGACACAATATTATTCAAAATTAAAAAGAGCTCAAGCATTTTCAAGCAGCTGCGAAATGTCGTCTTTACATTCATTGTATATAAACTGAAAATATCAGTTAAAGATCACAGAGCACACATTCCTACTTGACATTTATTACATTGTATCGATATACAATAGAAGGTTTGAACAAATCGTAATAAACTTCAGATAAAAGTACTCGAACGTGTTTAATTTTAAAAAGTTGTATGACTTTACACAGCGGAGTTTCAATCTAGCAATTTGTTTTGTACTAGTGTTAGCAGAGCTCAAATGAAATCGAATTTTTGATTATTCTTGTAGAAGCAAATGTCTGGAATTCTCGTCTCCGGAGACTGATTTAAAATAACATTTCATTTCATTGTTTACAGTTGCCGGAGGTCGCAGCCGTTTGCACTTGATAGACTTAGGAAACTCGGAACGTGGGAAAACTAATGGAGGAATACCGCTCTCCGGTCTAGGCAATATACTTCTTGCTATATTTAACGGACAACGACATTTACCGTACAGAGATCACAATTTAACACACGTCCTTAAAGAATGTTTAGGATCACTAACTTGTCATACAGCTATGGTAGTACACGTGTCTCCAAACGTCCAAAATTATTCAGATACTCTATCGACATTGCAATTGGCATCAAGGATACATAGATTGAGACGGAGGAAAGTAAAATATAGCGGAAATAATAACGCAGGCTCGGGAGGAAGTTCTGGCGAAGATGCATCAAAACCTAGTAGTAGTGAACCAGACCCTTCCAGCAGCGATTTGTCGGCAGACACTGTCATATATGTAGGTTCTTTAGACGATGCAACCGATGGTGAACATCCCCCTGTGTACATACCACACATTAACTCTAGTGACAATAGATGTTCATTTAGTAAAGCTTTGAGAGGATCTGCCGCTGAACATAAACACAAATCGTCACTCTCTAAAGTAGTGGAAGAGAAAAGTCCTATACATAAACTACATGCTACGCCAAAATCATCCCCTCTTAAAAGTGCTATACCAACCTTCACGCCAAAATCGTCACCAGTACACACATCTACTCCAAAAGCTGCTCCCTTGAAAAAACAAGGTTCAAAGCATAGCGAAGGTACAAGCGACGAACAATGGATAGATGGTCCTAGGATATCTAAATCGAAATTAGTCGAAGCGCGGCATATTATAAAAGAAACGCAAGTTAAAAAGAGAGAAACTTGGATTGACGGGCCAATGCAGGAACCACAAATTCCGTTACAATTTGAATCTGTGCCAATACAACCTAACGCAGTGCCACTACAAGTTGGAGTTCTCAATTCGTATGGCAATGAAAATATTGGATATGGATATATGGATAATCACAAGAAGAATATGATAAAAAAATGGGTGGAAAACCAAACATCCCAAATACACAAATCGAGACACAACTCACCAAGTCATAAAGCTACACCACCACATCCACAAAAAGATTGTGCCAGATTACCAGACGAAAATGATACAATACATCGAATGGAAATAAAAGATGCAACGAGACGAATACATGTTGAGGAATCAACAATCAGAACTGGATTAAAAGCTGGATCTAAAGGCAACGCTATAGAAGAAGAAAACATAGGTCCGCCAGATCAAGCCCCTGCACGAAAGATTAGTAGTGCGAGATCGTCAACAAAGAATGAACCAGACGATGACGATGATAGTGAAGAATTGGCAGAAATACCTCCTGCGTTACCTTTAATTCAACCTAGTAGCCTAAATAGTAGAGAAGTGTCTATGGAAAGCCTAAATAATAAATACAAAGAAAGAATGAGGATGGATGATGAAATGATATCAAATCATAGCCGAGATATCGATCAACATGGAATGAGTAAAGGTCCAGACGAAGAAGACGAGGATATTCTAGAAATAATTGAGGTAGAAGAACCTCTTGAACCAGTTCCTATGCAAGATTGTTGCCTTCAAGTTACTGAAGAAGACATCGCGTATTGCATGGGATATACAGACAACCATTTAGCTGATTATGATCACGAGGAAGGTGATGACCATCCTCTTAGAATATTAAGCCAAGAAAATTTAACCGTCGCTTCCACATTCACTGATACACTTTCTATGTATAGCGAAGTAGAAAGGCAGATTAGGACTGAAGCATATCTAAGACAAACAATCGGGTTTTACACTCAGGGTTATAGTGAAAATACACATGAAATAAACCCACACGAAAGCGTACATTCATCAAGAACAAGGTTGGAAGATCTTTTGGGTCTAACAGAACTGTACGGTTCAAGAAGAGTGTTAGACAGTAATAATATACCTCCATCAAAAATAGCTCCTCAGTTTCAATCGTTGTCTTTATGTAATGTCAGAGACACTGAAGAATATCATGGTGACGGTTCTGTTTACAGTGAACCAGCATATCGGCCAAGTGATAAAATATGTGATAGTTGCAAACGGTCTATGTCAAGGCCGGGTAGTGCAGTAGAGCAATGCGATGCATATCATGATTTAGGTACCACTCACAACGACGCCTACGGACCATTCGAAAGATACCGACCGAATGACATCACTGATGCTCGAATAGCATCTTTAAGGCACCCTGATGGAGCATCCGACCCAAATTTACGAGAAGAGAATCGATTACCAGTAATCGGTGGCCCTTCCAGCACGTTTCGAGAACTTAAATCCAATTTACATCTCGAAGTAGCACCACCTATAGTTACTGTGGAACCACGATTAGAAAAATGTGAGAAAGGCGATAAAAACGTCGCAAGAGTGGTAGCTAGTTGTAAGCCTGACGGTTACGACAGTGGACATGAATCAACACCAAGAACAGGGAAACACAGTCCCGCTGCTACATCCAGAAGAGCAGAATCAGGTTATGACTCTGTCCCAAGAGATTCTGACGCATCTTCCTTAGACTCATACCCAACGAGACGGGCGGCTGTCGCACGAGCTCACGCAAAGAAACACACGACAGCAAAATACAAGCAACACAGTGACAGATCATTCTGCTCATGGCTAAGAAACCCCTTCACGTGCAAGTACGCGGATACAGACCCCGAAATAAGTGATTTTTAACGAATAAAAACTAAAACTATATCATAAGGTACAAAGTCGTACTTAAACATAGCGTGTAAATTCTGAATAGTCTGTATCATTAAGCTACATTACCGAATTTAATCTGGAGACTGCTTTTGTACTCTAGATATACTCGTATATATACAAAAGCTTTTGGCACTAATCCAACGAGGTTACCGCTGTATTTTTCTAAACCTTATGAAGCTTCTAGTTCTGCTCCGAAATATATTTTTAATGACGTACTTAGTGAGTTTATCGGATGGTATTATGAATGTAACACTTGTATATACTCAATACAGGCGTCTTATGCAACTATAATCCCGCTCATCTTTTGTACTTTTATATATTCACCGTTTCGATATAATTATTGATATTTTATGGCGACTGTTATAGCTTTTTATGAGATTTGTATAAAAGTGAGATCAGGAGTCTTCCTTTGTCTTCCCTCGACGCCGATACTGCCATTTGACCAACACTCAAAATAAATATTGATTTGGAATTCTTTACTTACAACTCTTCCGATCACCGAATACCAACCTCATTATGATAATACGAATAAATAGCATATTAATGACAGCTATGTTAACTGATTGTCGAATGTTAATAAAGATTACTAAAAATAGTATTAAAAAGCATTTAGTTATTAGATTACTTTTATTGTAACGAAGTCGACGGGGCGAATATTGTTTTTATTCATATAAAAAATTAAATATTTAGTAATAAGACTGTTGTCATGCCATGTTCTAAATAGCTTTAATATTTTATCGTCTTCAAAATCGGTCAACCTGTTTGTAAATAATGGAATGCATACACTACGGCTTTATAAAATGTTGGTGACCTTAGTTATTGCTTGAATTGTCAATGTTCTGTTATATACCATTTAATATTATATAAATATTTATCGTAAATTCTACTATGCGTTCGTATTAGTTTCAAATAAAAGTTCAATTTGAACCCATAGTACTTGTTTCTTTTTCATCCTTTATTATTTCGTTTTCTGTAATTACGTGTGTCGTGAAGCTGACACAGAAATTATTATTTTTAAGGCGCTTTATGAGCACGCATTAAGTAGCTAAAATAGAATTGTTCATGTTTAAAAACTTCCGAATTGAATAATATATGTATTAAAATTCTTAACAAATGCAATTAAACAAATCTATATAAGTGCCAACTTTATATTGTCAAACACTACAAGGTGTGTATTGAAATAAAGTGTATAGAAATATATATTTTAAATGCTCTAATGTTCACAAGATATTTGGAAATCATAACTAAAAGGCTATGAATAAATAAGCTAGGACTGGCGCCAATCCCTCGGGTGATTCTCAAATCTTATGGGATCCAAACTTCTCCCTATTTCAAAAACTTTTAAGGGGAAGCCTATTATCTTTCATTTCTGTTGTAATTTAACATTCTTCTTACGCCCCGGGAAAATCATGCTATCAAACACTACGTTTACCCTCTTTAGCAGGGGTGACAACTTTTTCTTACCAATAATTTGCCAAAGTGGCAGCTGCTTAGCCCATAACGATTATCGCTAGCTAAAAAGATTTCGCCTTCATGATTTCGTGTCGAGATTGGGAGGGAAATGTTATCAATAAAGTCAGCTTCTTTTCTAAGTAACAGTAAAGAAAAATGCATCTATTAGAAAATTTAAGTTATATTAAAACAGTATACATATAAGAATAATAATAAAGAATATTAATATAATAATATACTTCTAAATCAATAAGCATATTTATAAATTATCAATGAACTCTAATATAATTAACATCACAAAATATTAATGTAATTAGATCGTAATAAAAGATGTTATCTTTATACAATATTTGCTTCACGGAAACTTTTACTGTCCATTTTAATTAACTAAGAGACTCATAAAATTATTATGTCCATAAACTCTGGCAACGCCGATGATACATTTAATAATGTCGACATAGTCACGATACGTAATACCACAATAAGAACAAAATGAGAAGAATAACGCGGGATAAGACAAAACACGCGTCGACCGGGGAGTCGAACCTTGTACGTGACGCGAACGCCAAATTCGGATACACATTAATAAAATATAAGCTAATATAAACTCTATACTCCTAACAATAAAGGTGATAGGAAATTGGTTCCGTTTATGTGAAATATGTCGTACGTGATACGTAAATAAAGATGTTCAGAAATAATAAAATGCGGGGAGGTAATACCATTGCGTACCGAGTTGCTAATGACGAGGATAATAGATATATGAAAAGAAATATATATACACAAACTTACGTTGTACAATCACAATAGGTTCTGTACATTACTGGCCAAGTATTACTACAAAATTCTAGTCAATTATAATACTATTAAACTTTTTGTCACCTAACTTTTATTTTACCTGTCCAATAGGACGTAACAAAAGGCATACGAAATGGAATTGTTTGCTTTAACCAGTTCAAACCAACAGCGTATAACCACGCCAGCAAGTAATATTTACAAAACATTCTGTCACAAAACGATTCAATACTATCTATATTGCGATGTATTAGGTTTTCTTTTCTTTATATTCATACAGAAACTCATTTGACTTTTGCTTGTCACGATTCGATTGTCCGAAACATGGTGCTACTGGAATGTCTAAAAATGAATCTTGGACAAGAAATATGAGAATTTGGATTTAAAACTTTCTCAGGTCATTATAAATTGGGAATATTTTTTTTAAACTCAAACTGTGGCTTCTTTCGCACTGGAATCGTTTAATATTTTGCCAATTTCAAAGTTTTTAATTGTTGAACGTATTATAAATTAAAATAATACCGTAAATGAGTGGAATACTGTGTGGAAAACATACGAAGAAGTTTGTCGAATGGAATAAAGGCGTATTTTTTAATTACTCTAGCTATGTTTTAACAGCACCTAACAACAACATATACACAATCAATAATATTCTAAAAATCTTAGTAAATTAAGTTTTTATAGAAAAATTACGTAAATTTTGAACTACATTTTGTTCCACTCATAGTTTTATTGTCATACAATCTCTGTATGTTATTTTCAATCACCCAAAAAGCTGAAGTTCATAATAGAATTTAACAAAAACAATATTTGTTATCGAAATTTATAACTATTAATATAATTTTCAATAACTTACAAAAACACACGTGATTTATTCTGAAAAAAAACACAAACCTAAATTCCGTGAAACAGTTTTAAAACCCTGAATTCATATTGAAGATCGTTTACAATCCAAAACCATTTAAACGACCCTCTTCACTTGTAATGGAAGTTAGACTTGAGGCGGGGAAAGTTCTGTTTTTTTGAAACAGGAGACATTAAGGCACATACGTGGATAGAATATATATGTAATAGAATCGTTTACAAAAATTTACTATGGCCATATTATACGTGGTGGCAGGTGATAGGTTTAGAGTGTTTTTGTATTTGACATATATAAATAAACAAAAATAGCTCAAGTAACTTTACAACCAACAAAATCGGAATAAATAACATAATTAAATAAAAATAAAGTAATCCTTTATTCAGACTTTATTTACGAGTATTGTACACAAAGTTATACAAAAACTTTTTTAAACTAACATCTCTGACGAATAAGTGAAAGAAAAGATATGTGACTTTAAACATTTTCTTAAAATGTAGAACACTAAGTTACATGATATAAACGAGGTAGGAAACGACACCCAATCATTTACTCGTGGTCATAAAATTCCCTATATTTTACGTCAAATCTCTGCCCTATATCGAATTTGTCTCCACAAGAGTTGAGCCGAATCAATCTACATTATCCTACTGAAGACAACATCGTGGTTCAAGATATGAACTTATGGCGTCAAGAGAAAAATTATTATAAAAAGATTGTTGATAGTATAGAGAAGGTTATATCATTTAATAATGTTTTGTTGTCTTTTTTACATAGAAATATATAATTTTTTTAAAAAGCTTATAAATAATGTTGGTTTAAAAATGTCAATATACGAAACAGAAAAATGGAACTGATGAAAATATATGTAATATAAAAGGGAATACAAAAACAAAACATTTAAATTGATTTATTACTGTTGACGAATTTAAGTTATAATAATATCTTACAAGTATTTATAATATCTTATTTATATCTTACAAGTTACGAAAAGTAAAATCAGAATTTGACAGCTGTATAGATTAATATATTGATATTTATCACCCTTATAACTAAAAGAACTGTATTCATATAAAAATATATCCTATAATGTAATAATATGAAAACTTTTCCAAATTCATTGAATTGTACCAAACTTTAAAACGTGTTGAAAGCCGTCTGTAGCCGAAGCGATTTCTCAGGATTTGAGGAGCTGCTCCAACTTTAAGGCACGCACTTTACAATGTTTACACAGTGAATAGAAAGAGGAGGGGCATTTAATATATTAAATAAATTAAACTATATATCTCATTTTCTTAACAATACTACTTAACATACTGGTTTCGAAAGTATCGAGTGATTAAAATATTATAATTTATTATTAATCTAACTCGTAATTATTTATTCATCGGACAAAAATTACAAAAGAAATATTTTTAAAGAAAAATACACTAACATTAAATTTTAAAAAATACATTGTTTGAATTGTCTCTTATACATTATACTAATCTTATTGAATCTGACAAAGTTTATAATAAAAATGAATAATATAAAATTTTATAATAAACCATACAAAAATCTTCATTGTGTTATACTTAATTGCTGACAAAGCTGGTTTTTTTAACATTCTAATAATTTACTTAATAATAAAATTAAGAATTGATAGCAATTTTTTTACACTACGCTGCATCATATAAGTATTGATATTTTTGTAAGGATTGTTTGTTTTATTGTGTTTGCTGTGATTGCAAGTCCTCATAAATAACATTCAGAGATTTACCAAGCGACTGGACATGCTCACCGCGAATGACTTATGCTACAACCGGATGAAATACACAATATATCAGCATCAGACACAATCACATGAGATTAATAGAATATAATA